AAAATAATGTTGTGATTGGATCTTTAGATGCCATATTTCATGAAGATAAGTTTCCCTATAAATTGAGAAATAGTGGGGGTAATAATAAATCTATAGAAGAACCTAGTTCATTTAGAATCACTATCGCCAATGAGAACTTAGAAGAACCTAGTGTTGAAATTGAACCTAGAAGAAGTAAGAGATCTAGAATTGAGAGAGACTTTGGTCCTGATTATTTGGTTTATAACGTAGAAAATGATCCTATGACCATTAATGAAGCTCTATCATCGCATGATTCTGATCTATGGAGAGAAGCCATTAATAATGAAATGAATTCTCTAATTACTAACGGGACATGGAAATTAGTTGAATTACCTCCCGGTTGCAATGTGATAGGTTGTAAATAGGAGGAAAACATCAAAAATCTGAAAATTCTTTTCGGGTTGCCGTATTTGCAAAAATCGAACTGTGCAACAAAAAAGATTGTTTCTTTAGATGCAAGAACTGTAAGTATATCCAAGAAAAAATAAAAGCGACAAAGTCGAAGCCAACTTCTCCAAGCATGAAGAAGACCAACTATTTTCTTGCATAAATGACCAAAAAGAGTTTGAGAATGTGTGGTATGTCGATAGCGCCTGTAGCAACCACATGTGTGTGGTGATCCGAGTATCTTTGTGGAAATAGATACTAATCACTACTCTAAAATGAAATTTGGAGACGGAGGCATTCTTGAAGTAAAAGAAAAAGGCATAATTGATGTCAACAAAAAGGAAGCCAACCAAAAGCTCATTAAAGATGTTCTTTTCGTTTCGAACATCACTCAACAATTTATTGAGAGTCGGCCAACTCATGCAAAAAGGATATCGGTTACTTTTTGACGATAATGAGTGCAGCATATTTGATAAGTAAACCAAAACTCATGTGATGACAATTCAAATGACATCAAACAAGGTTTTTTCGTTTGTAATGTCATTGGAAAGGGAACTGGCCTTCAAAGGAGAAAGTATTGATGAATTTTATTTCTGGCATTTGAGATATGGTCATTTGCGCAACAAGGGGTTGCAACTATTGAAGCAAAAGATCATGGTTGTCGGCCTTTCATCAATTGAAAGAAAGGAGCACGTATTTGAAGGGTGCAATTTCGGCAAAATGCATAGGCTACCTTTCCGTAAAACTTCTTGGAGAGCCAGATGTCCACTTGAGTTAGTGCATTCAGAAATTTGTGGTCCTACGAGGACTCCATCTCTCGGTAACAAAAGATACTTCATTATTTTTTACGATGATTTTTCAAGAATGATGTGGATATACTTTTTGATTGAAAAATCGGAAGCATTTTCCATTTTTCTACAATTCAAAGCTCTTGTTGAAAATCAAGTGGATTGAAAATCAAGTCGTTACGGACGGCTCGTGGTGGTGAGTTTCTCTACACACCATTCATGGAGTATTGCAAGAAAAATGGATTCAAAGACAACTCACAGTTCGTAGAAGTCCACGACAAAACGGTGTAGCCGAATGGAAGAATAGAACCATTGTCGAGATGGCGAGGAGTATGCTTCAAGGAAAAAACTTACATAAACAATTTTGGGTTGAAGCTATCCACACGGCTATCTGCATACTCAACCGGTCCCCGACAAAGGCGGTTCTAGATAAAACACAGAACGAAGCTTGGAATGAAAAGAAGCCAATGGTGGATCACTTAAGAGTTTTTGGCTGCATTGTCTACTTTCATATCTCAGCTCCAAACCGAGATACATACGATGAACAAGGCAAAAAATTAATTCTTGTTGGCTATAGCGATGAGTTAAAGGGTTATTGACTTTATAAACCGATAACTACAAAACTCATCGTCTCAAGAGATGTGTTTTTTACAAAATGGCCAAATGAAATAAGGAGAAAAATTCTTCACCAAACTTGATGTCAAAGGTTTCTTTGGAGTCACCTTTTGTACCATAAGGGCAGCAACAAAATGGAAATGAAACCGCATTAACAAGTCCTCAAGGAACACCTCAAAGAAGTCCCTCAAGTTATTCGAGTTCGAATTCCGAATCTCCACCAAGAAAGGTACGATCATTGAAAGGTATTTATGAGCATTATGATATTGCTTTCTTTGAGATCCGATTGCAATTGATAGACATTCAGCCCCAATTGAGCTTGCAAGAACACACCGAATTGTCTCTATTCGTGCTACCGGTGCAAAATCTCATTGAAGTCTATCCCGGGCTGCTGCGAATAGCCTTTTGCAACTAATCTCGTCTAATGTTTTTGGATAGAACCTTCTTCATTGAGTTTTTTTTTCAACACCCGCTTTTAGCCGATCGCATCTTTGCCCTGTGGCAAATCCACAAGCTCCCAAGTTTTATTTTTTTCAATTGTTTCATTTTCAGCTTCCATGGCTTTTCTCCAAATTTTTCTTTTGTTGCTTCTTCATAATTTTGAGATTCACAACCAAAGAAAGCAATATCACAATGCTCATAAATATCTTGCAATGATCGTACCTTTCTTGGAGTAGATTTGGAATCCGAACTCGAAAGCAAATGCAACAGCTTGATCAATGGTGTTAACAAACTTTATCGTGGTGTTAACAAATCCGCATTCCTTAATGGAGAGCTTGAAGAAAAAGTCTATGTTCATCAACCTCAAGGCTTTGAAGTTGCCGAAAAGGAGGAAAAAGTATATCCTTTGAAGAAATCTCTCTACGGATTAAAACAAGCACCACGAGCTTGGGATAGCAAAACCGATGGATATTTTTGCAAGAATGGATTTCTAAAAAGTCCAAGTGAGGCCTCACTCTATGTTAAAAAAGGAAATTACTCAGGATTTTTTTATCATTTCTCTTTACGTTGATGATCTTATTTATCTTGGTACTAACGTGAAAATGGTAAAGAAATTCAAGAAAAATATGATGCAAGAATTTGAGATGTCTGATTTGAGACTCATGAAGTATTTTCTTGGAATTCAAGTAAAACAATCCGAGGGTGAGATTTTTATCTCTCAAGAAAAATAGTTGATGATTTGTTAGAAAAAATCAACATGGGAAATTGCAAACACGTGGCAAACCTTTTGCGGTCAATGAGAAGTTGCAACAAGAAGATGGCGTTTCAAAATGGATTAAAAAATATATAGAAGTCTTGTTGGTTCGGTTATCTATCTCACACACACAAGACCCGACATAGTGCACTCCGTTATCTATGTTTCGCGGTTTATGAGTGAGCCAAGCAAGCTTCATTTTGCAGCTAGGGTTGAAGTGCGAAAAGGAAGAAAATAATGCCTTGGTCGGTTTCACGGATAGAGATTGGGTAGGTTCGTTTGATATCGAAAAAACACTTCGGGCTATGTTTTCTCTCTTGGTTCGAAGGTGATTGCATGGAGTTCTAAGAAGCAAAAGACAGTTGCTTTATCTTCAAGTGAAGCCGAGTATATTGCAGCGACGGATGCCGCTTGTGAAAGTCGTTTGTCTTAGGAGAATTCTTTCGAATTTGCAAGAAAAACAAGTGCAAGATGCGACTATCTTTTGTGGTAACATGTCTACAATTGCAATGATCTTTCATGCAAGGTCCAAGCACATCGAGCTACGTCACCACTTTATCATGATATTGTTAACGAAGGAGAAATTTCAATGGGGTTTCTTAATACCAATGATCAAGCTGCTGATTTTCTTTCAAAAGCCGTGATAATCGAGAAGTTTAAAAAGTTCAAGAAGTTGTTAGATATTGGTCCAGCCTACTACGAGGATCCCGTATCCAATAACCCAACCTATACACAGGGCCGGTTCTGAGGGGAGGCGAAGTAGGCTGTCGCCTAGGGCCCCCGAATTTTTGTAAAAATTAAGGGCCCCCAAATATTTTTTATACCCTTTATATATTAGTATTTATTTAAAAAAATATATTATATGTATAATTATTGCGAACTCTAATTCATGAATAGATATTGATCAACGATTTTTACTTATTTCTATAATTCCTCTAATCATGGGGCCTCCAATTATAATAGTGCATTAGCTATTTATTTTTATATATTTACACTTGTTTTAGTGCTACTTAATGAAAATTATCCTTAAAAAAATCGGGGGCGCTGCCCCCGATCCCCCGGAAATTTATAGCCTTGCCTCTAGCTATATACCTTACAAAAACGAGTTTACATAGAATTTATCATCTCTTTAGAAAGAGTTTTAACGTAGATTGTAGAAGGGCCCCATTTTTTTCAACCATTTTCAAGTTTCGCCTAGGGCCCCCAAAATCTCAAGAACGGCCCTGCCTATACAAAGCGCATTAAATCCCCTTTACTATGTCCGAAACCCGAAACCCGAAACCCAAAAACCAGAAAACCCGAAATTCGAAACCGAAACAGAATCAAAAAAATTATGAATGAAGAGGGGGTGTTGAAAATAAAAATTCATATTTTCAATAAAGAAGTTAGAACATCATTCCAAGATGAAGACTTGACTTGTAGAAGTCAAGAAGTTTTCTTGTAATTTGTTAAGACTTTTACATTTCTAAAGAACTTGAGACTTGGAATCTAGTGTCTATTTGTATCCATTCCTACCCTATAAATTGTAACCAAGATCAGATTTTTATATGCAATAACAACTAAAAACTAAGAATTTCCAGCACTAAAAACCTCTTATTCATAAATAATGTCCATTGTTCTTCACTTAGTAAAAATATCTACACTAATTCTTGGTGTTTTTTTCTTAACACCACACTTCCGCATATTAAAACTCCAACGTATAGTACATACGGCCAGAAGGAGAAACCAAAATACCATTATTGGGCATTGATTATTGACAGGTGAGTATAATAGAGAGAAAAAAAAAGTCAGGAAATTAATGAGACACATAATTCAAAGGTTGTAGGGTATAAGATACTGTGTTTGCCCATGTTTCCTCTGAGAAACACACCCAGATTCAAAAGGATGATGCCAATGCACAGTAGTAGTCATGGTGTTTGATAAAATTCCCCACAGAGGCTCCCTGACCCCACTTTTATTCGGACTAACTTTTTATCAACAAACATGTGACTGATTGATTATGAGGACCTCGCTTTATTTCCAGGACTATTGGCTGATCAACAATCAATCATACATATATGTAACATTCACTAGTTAATAATATTAAGTTTCTGACCAATAATTTATAATAATAGTGAAAAGGTAAAAACAGTTAAAATACCCACAAAACAAAAAACACGAAACGACGAAAGATAGAGAGAGATGATTGTAATGCTACGAACGATGGCCCCTTTGATCTTCTGTACAAGGACATGTTTCTTTTTCCCCCCCTCGATTTCACCCATCATTTTGGAGCCATAAACGATGATTTCAAACAGGGCCATCCTGTTTTTTTTCTTTTCACGGAGGAATCTTTTCCAGGAATAAACGAACTTCGAAAAATGTAAAAAATTAGAGAGAGAAGCAATAATTCAGGGGAAAGAGTGATGTGTGTTGTGTCAGTTTCTATCCGTTGTCTCAGAAGATTGATCTACACCGCTTTCCTTCTCAGATGGACCACTAATATCCTTAGCCGACTCGATTTCCAAACTCGCCGTCCTGCTTTTTCTATTCCGACGATCCTGCACCAAGAAAATAATATACTAATTAAATAAATAATTCACATGCCTGAGACATTTAAAAATCACTTCAAATTATTTTCACCTAGTTCTTGGTCGTTTTCGAATCATATCTTCCAAAATACTTTTTTTGCAACAGCTTTAGACATTATTTAAACACTAATTTAAGTGCTGCTACAGTGTAATTTTCTTTCGTCAAATACCAATAAACATTACTTTCATTGTCGAATTCTTTCCCCAAAAACGAAATAAAAATAAGCTCAAGGGGCTTCCAAACACTGCCTTAGTAGTGTTACTTCATACAAGTTCTTTACACTATTTTTATTTTTTTTTTACAATTGGTTTTGCTATTAATAATAACGATCCTAAAATGTGGAATGTGGCAACAATAATTGATTTAACAAAAACATGCTCAATTTCATTCCAACTCCTATCTTAGTTTCAATCAGAAATTAAACTAGAACAAAAGCTTGTTTTTAGGCAAAAAGCAACTATTAGAGAGAGAATATGACAAACCTCGCGATTAGGAAACTCGTCAGTTTCGAGCATTCGAACAACCTGACTCATCTTGGGGCGTTTCTCCGAATCGGGATCAACGCACCTAAGTGCAACAAGAAGTGCTCTCTTCAATGCACGTGTATTCGGCCTTACTTCAAGTGTGGGGTCCACTACTTCCTCTGCTCTCCTACTCCCTACCATCATTTTTAACCACTCCACTAAATTTACCTGTGCCGCCACCACACACAATCAGTCCCCTGTACAACAATTTCACCCCTTTTATATAAATAAATTAATCTAGAGTACCTCGTTGGCTGGACGTCCGTAGTCCACTGGGTCCCGCCCAGTAACAGCTTCCAATAGTAGAACACCGAAACTATAAATGTCGCTCTTTTCGTTTAACAAACCAGTGTTTGCGTATTCTGGAGCCACATAACTGAAATTCACAAAAGGACTCTGATTATTCTGAGTAAATGAAAAAATAGGTTAGATATTAAATAAAAATAAAATAAAGCAAAAACAATTACCCAAATGTTCCCATCACTCTAGTTGTTATGTGGCTTTCTCCAGATTCCAATAGCTTAGCCAAACCGAAGTCGGAAATTTTAGCGTTGAACTCGTTGTCAATCAAGATGTTACTTGATTTTATATCGCGGTGCACAACTTTTGGTTCTATAGCTTCGTGCAAATATGAAAGTCTGCAAAATAAAATAAAATTAATACCGTTTTATTTTGGCAGATGCTTTTGAGAAATAAAAAAGGATCAATTTTTTTTGAAGTGGGAAACTTTCAAAGTTGAAAAAATCGACTTACGCTTTAGCAGTACCAAGTAGAACCTTCATACGGGCTTCCCATGTTAAGGTACCGTGTTGCCTCATTGCCCCATGTAGCCACTGTTCAAGATTGCCATTGTTTACATACTCGTAAACCAACATCCTGCAAATACAATTTAAATTACAACAACAAAAATAAATCACGAAAATCGAACAAAACTATTATATCAAGAAACTAACCTGTGAACTCCTTCTATGCAATAGCCGAGAAGACGCACTAGGTTCTTATGTCGAACATGACCAATGGCATCTACTTCAACCCTAAATTCTTTCTCCGCCTGTCCACTACAAATCCAATTTATCGTTCAACCATAAACACTAACGGAAAAAAAAAATACAAATTTGAAGACATTGAAAAAAAATGAAAGGGTTTGTTACTCACAGATTATTAAGAAGTTTCTTAACCGCAACCTCAGTCCCATTGACCAATCTGCCCTTATAAACAACCCCATAACCACCTTCTCCAATAACATGATCAGCCGAAAAACGATTGGTCGCAATTTGCAGATCTCTAAGGGTGAACCAGTGGCCCCACCCGAGATGAGACATTTCAGGCAAACCGATCAAAGGAGACGCACCATAAGACAAAGAAGCTTGTTTTCTCGCATTACCCGAACTCCCTTCCTCACCCGAATGAGAGCTACACGCCCTCTCGTGGTGGTACATTGAACTGCACTGGCTGATATTATCGGTGTCGCTCGATTGGCTCCTTCCTAAATGAACTAGCATCTTCTCCGGGGTTTTATCGCTCGATTTAGCGTTATTAATTGTTAAGTATAAACTTTCTTGATTCCCAACTCTGTCTACTCTGATATCTTTCGAAACATTAGGGATTTGGCTATGAGAGTACTTGTCTAAGGTCCTTCGAGATTTTCGTTGGAACATTGCCCATAGTGATAATATCCCGAGAATTAGAACTATAAATGCACCCACACATATGCCTATAAGGACCCAAAGTTTTAGAGGCCCATATTTCTTCGAGAGCTCGGTGTTTAAACTTCCAGACGACATTCTTTTTTTTATGCAATCCCGATGGTAGATAGATGTATCTGAACAACGATTAGTCCATTAAATCCTGGATTCCAAGAACACATCAGATTATAATTAAGTTCGAAAATAAAATTGGCAAACGAAAACAACAGGATTTATTTCTATACTTTCCGAGATACACGAGTACTACTTCATTATTCGAGCATTTCGTCAAGGCATTTAAGCAAATCAACAAAAAACCCTCTTAACAACAAACCGTGTAAATCTCAAAAATTCATCACACACAACACAAGTGATGTCATTTCAAAAACCCTATTAGGAAAACAATGAACACTGATATACACAGCTAGATACATTAACCCAATTCCAAATCTAAATCTTCTGGGGAAAACCCATGACTTCGCATCAAAGCATAAAGAAAGAAACAGATTTGGTACAGCAAAATAGAAAAAAAGAAAAAAAATTGGAAATTAGAAAGAGAGAAAGGACTCACATTTGTCGGTGATCTGAAATAAACCCGGTTGATCTTGTTGGTGGAGAATCGAAAGAAGCAAAGAAAGGGCATAGATAGATAGATACGCGAATGCAGAAATGAAAAAACAAAAAACCCACCAAAAGAAATAAGTGGGAAAAAAGGAAATAAAGAGAGAGAGAGAGAGCCCAAAAGAAAAGAAAGTTAAGCAGCTGGCTGGAGGATGAATGAGTAGTTTTGAAGCACAAGGGTATGTATGGTCTGCAGTTGGTGGGCCACACAGAATTTCCACAAATCAATTAAATAATGCAAAAAAAATAAAAAAAATTCTCGAACAATGCCAGACAAAAATCTAAAATTTTAAAGGGTGGAGTTGTTCTTTATTTTATTAAAATGGTGGAGAGAATTAGAGTTGGGTGAAATAGTAGGTAGAGGGTTACATGAAAATGGAAGAAAGGAAAATGGAGAGAATGCTTGGTTTGCAATGGAGGAAATCTGATACAGAAAGAATAGAGAGAGAAAGAAGAGAGAGAGAGTGTGTGTGAATAGTAAAGGGAAAGCAAGACAGAATACTACTGCATTTATAGCAGTGGTGACCGAAAAAAAAAGTGCAAAGTAAAGAGGAATTCCGGAGGAAAAAAATGACGATTTATTTATTAAGATGAGAGAGAGAAGAGAGAGAGAGTGAGTCAGAGTCAACTGAAGAGGCAAGGAAAGAAGAGCAAATCTAGAGGATTTGTGACATCAACTTACGGATTTTTCCTTTTTCTTGGTATGAAATGAAACTAGTACGACCGAATGTGGGATTACTTGTCTACACTCACACAAACCATCACGCTAATCTCCTCTCAAATCTTAGGGATAAATTACAAACATCCCCCAAGAAAAACAAATTCCCCTCTTAGAGGTAATTTTTCAAACTATTTTGTATGACATGAGAAAAATTCACTTCTAATTTCAGCCACTTATTTTTCAATTATGCCCTTGCCACGTCATCAGCACTATCATCTTCTACGCCTACTATGCCTACTATGCTGCTACCTCATCAGCCGTTCTTTTTATTTTTAATTATTTTTTTTTTTTTTTTTTTATTTTTTTTTTTTATTTTTCGGTTTTTAACTTTTTTCGTATCAGGTGTATTAATCGACTATGATGAAACATGGTCGATTAAGGAACTGACTATGCAAAATATGAAAAACACAACTACATAAAATTGAAAATCAACATTTTTTTAACAAAACAAATAATATACATAAATTGTAATTGATTTATACAAATCGGAATCAATATACAAAAATTCAAACGAATTAAAATTTAAAATCGAGTAACCTTAATCGAATACCAAAACAGTCTATTAACACTTTAATCGACTATCAGAGCATAGTTGATTAACTTAACCGACTATGATGAAGCATAGTCGATTAAGGGTCCAGCCTGCATGAATTTCTCTACTCGCGCCGTTCTCCACCCGATTCACCAAAAAAACCCTAGATTTGCCTCTCCATCGTCACCACACCGCCGCCACACAACACCGTCACCACACCGCCGCCACACCACACCATCACCATCACCACCCTCACTTCGATATTCTGACGAAATTTTATTACAAATAAAGTAAATCACAAACCGCACCACCACCCATCAAAATCCGATTTCGGCAACAAATTGACGAAAAAGTTATCTTCCTCGCACTCGTTCCGGCAACATGCATCGAAAAAAGCCATCTCCAAGAGAAAAAGAGGGAGAAGGAACATCGTTCTACCGGCGCCGACAACTCTTGTTCTTCGCCTCCGGAGAGAGAGAGAGAGAGAGAGAGAGAGAGAGAGAGAGAGAGAGAGATAGAGAGAGAAAACTAGATATTTGGGTGGAAAATTGAAAAGAAAAGAAAAATATCAGAGCAAAAGAGAGAGGAGAGGCGTGAAAAGAAGAAGAGAGAAATGATAAATGAGATTAGGTTCTTCAATGGTATATTAGACAATTAAGATTTGTTATGAGGGTTAGTTTAAAGGGAAATGGATTTTCTCTAATTACTTTTGGGAGGGAGGTTTTCCCTAACTATATTTCCTAGATGAGGGGGTATTGCTAATTTTCCCTCTTATCAATATACATACACTAGAATTTCGATAACTTAATATTCGGGAAATTAATAACATCGCTTAAATGACATTTTTTTCGTTAAAATTTATGAGATAATACACATTTAATTTTTTTTAAGAAATCCCATATAATATATAAATTAATAATGCATAAAAATAATTCTTAAATTACATTACAGTAATATTTTATAGATCTATGAAGGCTTAATAATATATAATATAATTGCTGTTTGTTTCTTGTTGAAGTTCACATCACCATCAATCTTGTTCCTCAATTTTCTTAACAGTTAGAACTTTTGGCATAATTTTCTCATCATTCAACATAAAATCGTTTAATACCATTGTTGCTTTAAGAGCTTCCGTTCGAGGAACGGACTCTATAATACATTGAACTAATGGTACAATGGCTAATATATACGAATTTAAAAAAAAAATGTATTATTGAAAATAATATTAAAAATAATTTCATAAATTAATAAGTTATTAATTAATGTATAAATTATTAATTATTAATTTATCGATAAATTAATATTTCACTAAATTAATAGAATTTTAATGATCTCAACTGTATTAATTTATATAGGGCTTATTTTATATACCCCATAGGTGCCTAATAAACTAGGGATAAACCCAAACGGAAATCATCCTTATGGATGCGCCCCCTGAAGAGGGGAAATTACTATACTGTCCTTATATGCAATTTTCTTTCAAACTTAACTCAGTCTTTCTGGTCCTGCGTCTTACATTTTTGGTCCTGCATTTAGTACTTTCGCTGATTATTTATTTTAAATTTATAAAAACCTTTTTTTTTTTGTATAAAATCGATATGTTTACTGTACTGAAAAGGACTATATGTAATTATAGTAAACTATAGTAATTCGTAGTAATATTCTTTATTTTTACCCCAATTTTTTAGTCGACTAATTACGTACAAACACGAATATCAACACTTATACAAAAAAAATTCATAACCAACAACAAAAATTCACAATTTAAATATTTATATTATAAACCAACTCATAACCAACAAATACAGGTCGAAATACACAATTACATGCATATGTTACTACATGTACTACATGTACTATATGTTACTAGTAATGTATAGTAATGATTAGTAAAGTAATGTATAGTAATGATTAGTAATGTACACAATATGTAGAAACACTGTAACTTGAAGCAGATGTCAAAATCATCAAATTCGTCTACAACTTCAATCAAATTTTTTGACACCTTAAAGGAGAGAATCAATGGCTTCCATTAAACTGCAATTGCAAAATCAAAACAAAAGAAATTATTTTAGTGGTAATTAACAAAAATTGAACAAACATCAAAACACTAAAAAAAAATCGACAAATACTGAGAGAGAGAGAGATTGAGAGAGAGAGAGATAGAGAGAGAGAGAGAGAGAGAGAGAGAGAGAGAGAGAGAGAGAGAGAGAGAGAGAGAGAGAGAGAGAGAGAGGGGGGTGTCATACCTGTGAAATGTTACGAATGTTAGACCAAACCGCCAATGACTCATCACCCCAAGTGCCTTCTACCAAAATCCTAGCCGCCACAAACCCCCCAAAGTTCCGCACTCGCAATGAAAAAAATATAGAAATAAACCTGACAATAAAAATTTGTATCACACATCCATCAAAATATAGATCTCGACGAGAGGAATCCAACGGTGGGTGCCTGTCAAATTCCGACTGTCTGAACACAAATTACACCTCTGGCAAAATCCACTGTCTTAACACAAATTACACCACCGGCAAAACCCACTGTCGTCATAATACGCGCCGAATGTATAACAATTGTAGAAACATATCCAAATATCCAACTGTATGAAATCGCCACCAAAAGAAAGATCTCGACGATAGGAATCTAACGGTAGTCAAATCATCGAATTCCGACCACCGGAAAGAAAGTTATGATTCCGGGAAGCAATGTCGCCGGTTGGAGACCTATGGGGGCGGAATTTGGATCTGTGAGTTGAGAGAGGAAGAGAGAGACGGCTGTGAGTTGGCTAGGGTTTAAAAATGAT